TTAATAACTACATTTATTAAGTAACTGTTTTATTGCAGACTCTATGCTAAGGTTTTTCAAATACATTGAGATGAACAACTCTTCTTCATAAAAATAAGGTAGGATCATGACTGATAAGAAAACTTAAGAAGCCCTGGTGGAGTTGTGGGTTAGGCATTAGGATTCTAACTACAAGGTCAGTGGTTCAACTCTACCAGTCACTCTCCAGGAAAAAGATGAGGCTGTCGCTTACACAAAGATTTAGTCTCAGATAGCCTATATAGGGTTACTATGAGTCAGAGTCAACTCAGATGACAGGGGGTGAAACTTATACTCAAAGAGTTAGGGCAAATTATCCAGGATCACATGGCAGAGTGTGTATTATACTCAGGAATATCTGACTCTAATGTCTGTATTCTGAAGATAAAACCAGTACTTAATTGCTGTGAATGGACTCCAATTCATGGCAAACTCATGTGTGTCAGAGTGGAACTGTGTCCATATGGTTTTCAATGGCTGGTTTTTCAAATTAGATCACTAGGGATTTCCAAAGTCCAGGTTCCTCTAAGTAGACTTGAATCTCTAGCCTTTTATTTAGCAACTTAGCATGTTAACAATTTGAGCTACCCAGAGACTTATTCTGAACATCAAAGATATTTTATTACCTTCTTACTTCATCAATCTCATTCCTTTATAAAGCAATATGTTCATTGATAGTCATGGGCAAATGAAGTAAAAAAAAAAAAAAATGTTCCCAACACCACCAAAGAATTTTAAAAGGACTATATTGATAAATAATATATATCTATAAAAATAAGGAGCTCTGGTAGTGTAGTGGTTATGAATCGGGCTATGAACCTCAAGGTCAGCGGTTCAAAACTACCAGCTGTTCCATGGGAGAAACATGAGGCTTTATGCTCCCATGAAGATTACAGCCTCGAAAATCCTGTGTAGTGTTGTTATGAGTCAGAACCTATGGCACATAAACACCACCACCACCATACCACTTAATAGAGTTCTGGTGTGTCACTGTAGGATCAGCACTGAACTGATAACCACAGGTTGGTGATTCAAACTCACCAGCTGCTCCTTGGAAACCCTATATCAGGTCACTAAGAGTCAGAACTGTCTTGATGGCACTAAACAACAACAACAATATAACACTTAAAAGGTATGTAAGGAATAGATTCCCTAACTCTGTATTTCTTATTACTGCCACAATACTCACATAGCTTTTGCTATTTCCTCCAAAATTATCTGTGATATTTCCTGTAAAATCATGGTGTGTTTTTCTAAACAAAAAAGAAAACAAATAAAATAGATTATTTTCAAGCATCAATAATGTTTAATGTAGCTATAAGTTGGTCATTAATTGGGAAAGAAGAAGTGGTAATACAGGTATAGTTTTAATATTGTTAAATCTATGCAGTTGACAGAATCATTCTTATGTAATTTATAAAAATCACAAATAGAAAATTACCCATTTTTGTTGTTCTATGAGGCTGGAAACAGAACTGGTAAATATTAACTACAGCAAATTTCCTTTAAATGGTAGTTATTAATAGAAATTGGTCTTCTTCTTGTTAAGTGCCAGTGAGTCAATTCTGATCATTGAGACCCCATACAAGGTTTCCAAGGAGTGGCTAGTGAGTTTGACCAGTCGACCTTGCAGTTCAAACAGGCCTTGCAGACCAGTGCTTTATCCTATAGCACCAAACCAGGACCAACCTGAAATAACAGAAAAAAAAAAAAAAATTAATTTCCTCTGTTCAGCAGACACATATTGAATGACCCCATGGATTAGGAAATCTGGTGTGGCGCTGTGGGTTAATGCACTGAATTGTAAAGTCGGTTCAAACTCACCAACCATTCCTCAGAAATCCTGTATAGGAGCATTATGGGTCAGAACTGGCATTTAACAACAACAACTATGTATTAAGCAAACTGTTGTGACATGGTGACCCCATCTGTTACAGAGTAGGACTTCTCTATACTATGTTCTTGGCTATGATCTTGACAGAAACAGATCATCAGTAGTCAAGCAAAAATTAAGCCCAAATATGTGGCACCATAAGATAAGCACTGGACCACAAGGTCAGTTTGAACTGTAAGGTTAATGATTCAAACCCACAAGCTACTCCTCAGAAACCCTGTACAGCTTTACTATGAGTTAAAACCTATGCCACCGCAATTAGCAACAACAATCAACAAGAATACTATAAAATCAGTTTTTAAAGAGGTGGAGAAACCCATTCTGGGGAAATGATAAATGCTGAGTTTGGTGATAACATTGGTGTAGTTTGGAAAAGGATTTGAAAAAACAGATTTCCTGTTGTCCATGTCCAGGTTTTATTGACTGCTCAGATTTGACTCCTCTTTGTTTCTCCTCAATATTAGTAATCTCATGCCCCATCCCAGTTAAGAAAGATAAATAAATAACCGTTACCTTCCAGCCCATTCTTACTCTATGTGAGCCTGGAGGACAGATGAAAACTACTCCTAAGAGTTTCCAAGAGTGTAAATATTTAGCATAACAGATGGTCACATCTTTTTCAGTAAGGTCTACTGATGGATTCAGAAGAGTTTACCACCACACCATCAAACTTCTTCCCCTTGAAGTTGTTGTTAAGTGCCATCCAGTCACTTCCAACCCATAGTGACCCTGGATAGAGTTTCTGAGGAGCAGCTGGTTGGTTTGAACTGCTGACCTTATGGTTTGCAATCCAGTGCTTATCCTATAGCACCATATCAAGACTCCTCTCCCTTGAAGAACCAAACCAAAACCAAACCTAAGGCCATAGAGTCAATTCCCACTCATAACAATCCTATAGGACAGAAAACAAAGATATTCTCCATGGGTTTACAAGGCAGCAAATCTTTTTTCTTTTTTTATTTTGAATTTTCAAACAATCAAATAAAACATTTGTTTGATTTCATCTAAATTATTACAATCCCCTCCCTGCAATAACAGCTACACTGCTTTCTCCCTGTGGCTTCCCTTTTTTATCTTACTTTTCACAAGTCAATAAAGCAAAAATATTTGATGTATGCATACAAAACAACAGTATGTATTCATTTAAATGTCCAAAGAATGCATTTTGCAAGCCAGCCTCTTGCCTGCAGGCACACAGCCTTTCCTAGAGTCAGTCAGTAGCTGCTCTATCTCTCCATGCCACTGCTTCTGACAGTCTCTCCTGTCTCCAAGGCTGTCAATCTCTAAGAAAACATACTATCTTATCTTTTTCTCCAGGGGAAGCTGCTATATTCAAACTACCACCCTTTCATTTAGCAGCCCAATATTTAACCCACTGTGTCACCAGTGCTCACTATCCCTTGAAGAGGGTCACTGAAATGCCTGACTACTCCCCTCTTCTTCTAAATTCAGCATAGTTGCTAATCAGCAAGTGTCGGTTTCCTCAAAAGTCACAAAAAGCTTCTTTTCAGAAATCTATGCAAATACATTTTCCTCAACAGGGGTCCCTTGCTCTCCCTCCTTGGAGACCACAGTGGGTACATGTACCCCTAGCTCCCAAGAACCCATGCCCAGTGAGATTAAGAGAAATTCCTGTGTCTGGCATGTCCTGTCTGTCATGCCCAGATTAGAAACAAACCTAGGATCCATACCAAGACAGCTCCTCTTTAAACCATCCCCTAGTCAAGAAAGATGAGGCTTTCTGCTCCCACAGAGATTTACAGACTTGGAAACCCTATATAGAATTGATATGAGTCAGAACTGATTCAATTACACATAACCAACCAAGCAACCCTTCCCTAAAGACATATCTACATTGACTGCCCCCACCCCCAGTCAAACAAGCAGCACTTTCCAAATTCCAGACCCCAGAATCTCAGACCTTGGAAAAGCCACTGTGCTGAATTGCACTCCTCACAGGGATGGAGTCAGAGAGAGAGTACAGAGCTTGTATTGAAAGCTAGAAGGGGACCCAAGATGTGGGTACCCAATTGGAAACTTCCATGTCTCCAAAGCTAGTTTTATACCAAGCCAGTGAGTTTCAGTTTCATTTCTCACCTCAGGAGCAGTTTAGCTTCCCTTTACCTTTATCACCAGGTGGGTGGGGCAGGTTTCAGGATAGCAAGAGTCCTAGTAGCATAATAAAGCATTTGTCTGCTAACTAAAATGTGTACAATTCAAATCCACCAGCCTATTTAAGGAAAAAGATATGGCAGTCAGCTTCCATAAAGATTCACACCTTGGAACCCCTGTGAGGCAATTCCATCCTGTCCTATAGGGTTTAACTGAAATCCATAGCAATGGGTTTGTTTTGTTTTGTTTTGGGGTCCTAGAATCCCTTTGAACCTTAAAGGTGTGCGAGTACAGCCAATAATACGAACTTCATAACTTGGGCATAACTTTAGAAGGAATTGAGTTAGAGAAATTGGGACCATGGAGTCCTGGAGTCCTGGTGGCACTGTGGGTTGATGAGCTGTACTGCAAAATCAGTTTGAACTGCAAAGTTAGTGGTTCAAGCTCACCAGCCACTCCTTGGAAGCCCTTTACAGGGTCGCTATGGATTGGAACAAACTCGAAGGCGCTTAGCAACAACAAATAAGTCCTGGTGTGGTGCTGTATGATAAGCAATGGACTGCTAACCACAGGTTGGTAGTTCAAACCCACCGCTTACTCCTCGGAAACCCTATACAGGGTGGCTATGTGTCAAAACCAACTCAACAGCCCTTTAACAGCAACAACAAACAAGATAAACCAAGAGGAAGAACTTAGAAGCATATGAAATTTCACGGTGAGATGTGCAATCTTACTCATCCAAAAAAACATTATTTAAAAAAAAAAAATAGTAGTATATAAATAATATGGAGTCCTGGTGTGGTGCTGTGGATTAATGCGCCAGACTGCAAAGCCATTTGAACTGCAAGGTCGGCAGTTCAAGCTCACCAGCTGCTCCTTGGAAACCCTATGCAGAGTCGCTATGGGTCGGAATCGACTCTACGGCACTTAACAGCAACAACAACAACATGTAAATAATACAAGGACCTTGAGTTTGATTTTATATTATGAAGAACTGATCATTAATGAATAACTTCAAGTTATAGTTACATATGAACTATGTTTGGAATTTTCATGGACCAAAAACCACAATTAAAAATTCAAATTGAAATGCAACATGCTCACTTTTGTATCTTCCTTGTACCTATTATGCTTGCAACTTGGGTTTGCACACCGAACTCTGTCTCCTAGTGTCCTAATACCCAAGTCAAACTCACTGCCATCGACTCCATGCCAACTCATAGCAATCCTATCTAGGGTTTCAGAGACTGTAAATCTTTACTGGAACAGTCTCATCTTTCCTCCCAGGAGCAGCGGGGTTTGAACCTCTGATCTTGTAGTTTAGCAGCCCAATGACTAAACCACAGCTTCAACAGAGCTCCTTTTTTCTCTTGAAGTTGTTGTTGTTTAGTGCCTTTGAATGAGTTTCAACACAGCAATCCTGTACAGGTTTCTGAGGAGTAGCTGGTGATTTTGAATGACTGACCTTGCGGTTAGAAGTCCAGTGCTTATTCTATAGTGCCAAACCAGGATTCTTCTCTCTTGAAGAGGGTCCCTTAAATGTCTTAACTGCTCACCCCATTCCTCTTCTTTAAACCCTACCGTGTTTTTGTTTCCTCACCTTTCCTCAGCCCTGGTCTCCAAGCATCTACAGGAAGTCCCTGCTCTACACCTTTAGAAACTCCTACACTCCAGTGTATGTGGGCGCCTCCAGCTCCCAGCAGCCTGTGCCCAGCAAGTTCAAGTGTGCCTCCTTGGCCACTTCCCAGTCCTGCATGTGTGGATTACAGTCATATCTCGAACCCCCACAGGACACTGCTACGCTGTAGACTCCTCCCTAGGGACACCGCTGCTTCAAAGCTTCAGTCCTCTGCATCCCTCATACACAGAGCATATTCAGCTGACTCCACAGCACTTAATAATAACAACAGTGTGACAGTGTAGGATAAGAACTGCACTGCTGATCATAAAGTCTACAGTTCAAACTCACCGTTGCGCCTCAAAAACCCCATACAGGCAGGTAGAATAGGGAAAGGAAAGGGGCCTCAAGTCACTCTGTCTCAGCAGAAACAAGCCAATCTCAGCAATAAGCATGTTCTGAGAAGAGTGGTGGGAGAAAAGGAAAAATGTTGTAAGGGGTAAATAAAGTTAGTTAATGGTAAGCTAAAACCTAAAAAGCAAGACTCAAGGAAACAAATTGCGTAGTATTCATACAGCCTCCATTAGTACAGAACTTGCTTTGCAACTACTTTGTCAGAGATCACCAAT